CAGATCTGTTTTTTACATCATTTTTATACGCATCAGTCACTTCAGAGAGGGGTTTGTTTAGAGATCTTTTGATTTTAGTTTTATCTTCACTGATTTCCATGAGTTCTACTTTAGATTTGCTCAATGTTGCCACTATTACATTAAAGTCTGTGTCAGGCGATTGAGCCTGTTGAATTTTGTCATTATTTCCGAGGGTACCCCGCCTTCATCCAATTTGATCTGTTCCTTTGTACCATGGCAAATTGAAGTCTCCAAAATAACAATCAATTTGATTACAGATTTTGCCCTCCAGAGCAGCTAATTTTTCATTATCACCATTTTCAGCCATTGTGGCTAATCTTTAAGGCCGTCGTCCCACGCACGCATCACAGGTCCACTGACAAGAGACGTGCTCACTTCTCAGTGCTGCCGGCCTAACTAACACTGTCAGAGAAGATGGGCGCTCTCCCTCCTTGTGGGCCCAGTACTGAAATGATTTTTTATGGGGTGAGAGAGAAGGGTGAGATTGAAACCTTACAGCCTTCTGCATGTAAATATCCAGTTTTTCCGGTGCCATTTTGTGAAGAGGCTGTCCTTCCATGTGTTTTTGGCATCTTTGGTGACAGTGTGTGTTTACTTTTGGAATTTCCAGTCTTCCATTGGTCTGTGTGCCTGATATTATGCCAGTACCACGTTGTTTTTGTTATTAAAGCTCTGTAATAAGTCTGGAAATCAAGTGCTGTGATGCTTCCAGCTTTGTTCCTTCTCCTCAGGAGTGCTTTGGCCATTCAGTGTCTTTGGTGATTTCAAATGAATTTTATGATTGTTTTTGCAAGTTCTGAGAGGACTGTTCTTTGTATTTTGATCAGAATTTACACTGAATCTTTAGATAACATTGGGAATGCAGGACATTTCAGCAGTATTAATTTTTCTAATCCATGAGCACAGGAGGCATTTTCATCTTGTCTTATTCAATTTCCTCAGTGTTTTATAATTTTTATTGTATAGATTATTCCTTCTTTCCTTCCTTCCTTCTCTCCCTCCATCCCTCCCTCCCTCCCTCTGTCTTTCCTTATATTGTGAATGGAACTGCTTTCATGATTTCTTTCTCAATAAATTCATTATTGGTATACAGAAAAGCTTACTTTACCAACTCATTTGTCAGTTCTAGGAGGCATTTTTCTTTTGTGGTAGGGAGTTTAAGTGTTTCTATACAGAGAATCATAGCATCTGCATACAGGGGTGGTTTGACTTCCTCCCTTCTCATTTGTAACCTTTTCTTTTTTTGGCTAAATGTTCTGACAAAAACCCATAGTATTATATTGAGCAAGAGTGGGGAGAACAGACATGCTGTTCTCGTTCCTGATCGTACAGGAATGCTTTCAGCCTTTCCCTATTTAGTACGGTGCTGGCTTTGGGCTTGTCATATACAGCCTTGCCTATGTTGAGGTATGATACTTTTACACTTAGTTTGTTTATCATAAAGCGATGTTAAATGATCAAAGGCTTTTTCCATATATATTAAGATGATCATATGATTTGTATTAATTCTGTTGATATGTTTATTTATTTGAATATTTTAAACCATCTTTCTATCCCAGTAATAAAGTCACTTTAATCTTGGTGGATGATCTTTCTAATGTGATGTTGGATTCAATTTGTTAGCATTTTGTTGAGAATTTTTACATATATATCCATCAGGGGTATTGATCTGTAGTTTTCCTTTGTCTTGTCTTGGTAACATGAAGTTTGAAAGGGTTCCTCCCTTTCAATTGTTTGTAATAGAGAAGGGTTAGCACTATTCTTTTTTTTTCCTCCTTTCCTTTCTCCCTTCCTTTTCTTTCTTTTGTACTGGGGATTGAACCAGAGCCTTGTGTGTGCTAAACCAGTGCTCTACTGCTTAGCTACATCAACAGCTTCTTTAAAAATTTTGAGACAAGGTCTTGCTAAATTGCCCAGGCTAGCCTCAAGCTTGCAATCTTCCTGCCTCAGTCTCCCAAGTAGCTGAAATTACAGGCATGTGACAGGATGAATGGTCTGCATTAGTTCTTGAAAAGTTCGGTAAAATTCATGGTGCATTCCTATAATCCCAGTACTCTGGAAGCAGAGGTAGAGAGATCAGAAATTCAAGCCCAGCCTGGTCAGTTCAACAAATTAACAAGATCTTGTCTAAAAATAAAACAGGGCTGGGGATTTAGCTCAATATAAAGGACCTAGGTTCAATCCCCGGTACAACAAGAAAAAAGTTTGACTTTTATCAGTTGTGAAACCATCTGTTTCTGGGCTTTTCTTCATTGGGGGAACTTTTAAATTACTGACACAATCTCTTTACTCATATTGGTCTATTCAGATGTTTGATGTCCTCATGATTTAAGATATATCCAGAAATTTGTATGGTCTTCTAGTTTTCCAGTTGGTTTGCCATAATAAGCCCAAGTGATCCCAGTGATTTTCATGGAATCAGTTGTAACGTCTTTTTCATCTTTGATTTTATTATTTGGGTCATCTCTGTTTTTGGTTAGTGTAGCTGAAGGGTTGTCTGTTTTGCTTGACAGTTTGTCTACTATATGCTGTGATGAGGTTCTTTTCTGGCCATGTCTGCTTGGGATCCTGTAAGCTTCCTATACACAGCTGTCCATTCTTTCTCAAGATTAGGGAAGTTTCCTGCCATCATCCTCAGGTATTCTGAAACTGCAGATATCTGTTCAATGTCCCAAAGGTCTTGAGTGCTTTCTTCCTTCTTATTTCAGATATTTCTTCTGTTTGATCTAGTCTATTGAGGTTTTCTGCTCTTTGATCTCTTCATTTCTAATATTTCTGTTTTTCTATAACCTGTCTCATTGCTGAATTTCTCATTCATATCCTGTATTATCATCCTAATTTCATTTAATAGTTTATCTATATTCTCTTGGGTCTCATTGAGCTTTTTACTAGTCACTATTGTTTTGGTACCAGGGATCAAACTTGGGACCTTGCATTTCTGAGGCAGGAGGTGGAACCACTGAGCTAAATCACAAGCCCTTTAATAGTCACTTTTATATTCTTTATCAGGTATTTCATCCATAATGATTTCTTTGAGCTCAGTTGTAAAAGACACATTACCATTAATTCTCCTTAAAATACTTCCTTCTAGCTTCAAATACATTTAGCCCATGAAGAAAGTTCTTACCACTTTCCGAAGTAGTCCTCTTTCTTGAGTATCTTTAGTTGTACTGTCGTGACTTCCTTAATGTCCTAAATCTATTCAAAACATTCACCTTTCATAATCGTTTTTACTTTGGAGAAGAGCCAAAAGTCTTATGTGCCAGATCCAGTGAATAAGGTGGATGAGGGCACACCAGAATATTTTTATGAGCTGGCTTTTTTCCATTGGCTGGTTCTGAGCAACAACAATCACCATATTCTTGATTATACCTTTTAAAGACACTCATGAAAGAGGACTTCCAGAACTGCTTCAGAAAGAGGCAAAAAAAAAAAAAAATGGGATAGATGTGTTGGGTGTATTTTTAGGGGGATTAATGGCAATGTGTCTTTACTGTGATAAATGAAAAATTAATATGCTCCATGTTGTTTTATCAGCCTCATAGTCTCTTGGAAGTGTCCTATTACCTTCCATCATATACTTTGGTCTACACTGAGATTTGCACACCTATTGGATTCAGTAGCTCTAACACTTTCATAGGATGGCCCTCTTAGTAAGCAGCTTTCTCCTGAAATTGGGTTTTGGAGCATCAGTTTGCTTTGCAGTATTGGCTTTATTTCCAGTTGGTTACTGTCAAGTAGCCTCTCTACACCTTCTTTGACTATGGTTAATGACTTTGGGCACAGTGCATACCATGGTGAAGTTAGACCCATTGAATTGGCAGGCCATACAAGAACGAGAACATCATTTTCTTCCATTCCAGGCAGCCAAGCAAACGTGATATGCGTTCATAGGACAGTCACAGGAAGAACAAACAATGGGGAAGGGCAGCACTTTCTACAAATGCTCAGGAACCAAGGTTATCATTTCATTACTCTACTTGGATATGGAAACTACCCTGTGCCATTTACTTAGTTTATTTGCTTAAGAAAGTTCTAAAACACCCCTGGTCCAGTTAAATAAAAAACAGAATTTATAATACAGATTTGAAAGCTATGCACATTTCAAAATAACTTCGGAACCATAACATTATAAATAATTACATGTTAACAAAATGCACTATTGAATTGTTTTGGTGCTAAGGTCTTTTTTAGCATATTCTGATTCTCTAGGAGATAAACTTCTAGTTTAAGATTAACATTCACTTAAAAGCATAGTAATCTGTTTGCATATATAAAGGAAATATTTGGTGGTTAGTGGGATAGAAAATTCCACTAAGGAAGGTGGCAGCTGGTAAAGACTCCCTTTCACCCTTTTAATTTTTTTTTTTTTGGTAAAGTGATTGTGAAGGGAACAGAAATAAGATACTGGAACCAAGTGCTCTGGATTTCAGGAAAAATTGTCTACTGATTAATGTAAGTGTGACCAGCAGAACAGGCTGGCCACTTGCTATATTTGGCCAAGGTGTTTTGCAGTAGGAAATAATACAGCTGTGCCTACAACTTACCCAAGCACTTAGTGAAGGAGGCCTAATTAGGAATGCTGTAAGGTCAAATGGGAAAAATCTTCTGAGCTGGATGAAGGACACTTGAATAATAATCTTGAGCCCACAGCAAGAGGAGTCATTTCTATATCAGTCAGTGATTTTATACTGTCAGATGTTACAAATTAATCCAACCCTCCCAAAAGTACTTCCAGATTTGACAGACAAAGATGACTGCTTGATTCAAGAAGAGAGGGGGTGGTTAAGTTTTTCTCTTGACCTTTCTAGATTGAAAGAATTGACATGGACTTTACCTGGATATTGGGAAAGAGGTATTCATCCAATAAATAACCCCTAACATAAATTTCAGTATGTGGGGACCAGACAAGTACTATACTGTATATGATATGAATAATAACTTCACACTGTGGTAGAGGGGCAGCTCCCAAGACTTAC